GTCTATATTTGTCTATAGATATTCTATATCCAATACGCCACTTTTACATAATAAATATGCAAAATTCTGACCAATATAAATACATCTCCCTACCTCTCTCTCTCTATATATATATATATAGAGAGAGAGAGAGATAGATAGATATATGACAGAGTGCTGAAAAATTATCAACCTTACCAAAAATTTCATGATTTGATAAGAAAGAATGGATCAGTTCAAAGATTTGTGTCAATTTTTACTGAATGGGGAGAAGTAAGGTTATGCTGGAAAATAAATTCATTTTCCCAAACTTATCCTCAATGTATGGGATAAAGATATGATTTGGATATCCTGATAGGCAAGCAGCATTAATCAACCTTTTCAAGAAACAGATCTTTCTGACACCAGTGACTGAAATACAACTCCAAACCATTACAGACTTAGGGAGTTTTATACTTTTTACATGCATTTATTATATCTCTTGTGTGACTTTCTCTAGATGTAGGGGGCCATGATCACCAGAAGGAATACAGAATTTAAATTCCTCTCTGAAAATGACCTGATCATCAGTGACAGACACATAACACAAAACCATCACAAAATTTTGATTCATCACCTGAAAATGTTAACAGTCTCTAATCCATATTAAATGCTTTCATTGCTGCTTAAAAGTTAGTAGTATCTTGCTGTCATATTCAAACTAATGGTGTCCCTGGAATGTTGTGGCTCAAGAAACTGATACACCATCAGTTTTGGAAATTTCATTAGCAAATCAATTGGGAATAAGGGTCCTATTCAGCTGATGTTGATGTTGTTATTGTCTTAACGTTGGAACTACAGTTACACAATTTTGAACAAGTTTGTCTTCCTGTCTTTGAGACAGCAGAGAGAACATCCCATTTTAACAGCTATCACCTTTTGAATATGGCCAGATTCCCACTATTCATAAATATGGGCAGATACCCACTATTCATAAATATGGGCAGATACCCACTATTCATAAATATGGCCAGATACCCACTATTCATAAATATGGCTAGATACTCACTATTCATAAATATGGCCAGATTCCCACAATGCATGAATATGGCCAGATTTCCACAATGCATGAATATGGCCAGATTCCCACAATGCATGAATATGGCCAGATTCCCACAATGCATGAATATGGCCAGATTCCCACAATGCATGAATATGGCCAGATTCCCACAATTCATGAATATGGCCAGATACCCACTATTCATGAATATGGCCAGATTTCCACAATGCATGAATATGGTCAAATTCCCACAATGCATGAATGATGGCCTTCTGTGCTTCTGATATATCCTTAACTCATGACATTTATGATACTAGGCAACAATATACCAAAAACAAAAGATAACACTCAATTTATACCACTAATTTGACACTGAGAGTTCTCATGAAATGTCATATATATATTTTCTGTTTATATGTGCTTTTTATAGTTATAATTTATTTAAGTAAATGCTGTTTTTTAATTAAACTGTATCAGTTACATTTACCAGCCTGAATGTTCGATAAATTTGTAATTCAGACATAGTTAACCAGATGCTTCTCTGTGGCTGAATGGTTAACAGCATGTCAGATCAGATGACAGTTCCTATGTTTGATTCCTTTCAGAGGGCGCATATTTTCCACAAAATTTATCGAACATTCAGGCCGGTAAATGTAATTAATACTGTTTAATTAAAAACAGAGCATTTACTTAAATAAATTATATCTATAAAAATAATGTATATACAAAAAAATTATTAAATAATTGTCGGATTTAATCCATTTCATAATATAAATATATGTGTGTATATATATATATATATATATATATTAATAATATTAACTACAAACATGGCTACAGTGTGCTGTGTTTGGAAAAGAAAACATTTCGATAACCCTAAAAATATACACACAATGCACACACCCAATTAAATCGAAAAAATAAAATCATCCTTAATAATGGCTAAAAGTATAGCCGAAAGCACTCAGAATTATAGAACATTTGTGTCCAATAAAGAAAACACTTGTTCGAACACAAGAAAAATTAAATAAAAAGCTTAACCGTAGTACCATGTCTGTCATCTTTAATGAAACATGCATAAGTGAAGGATTGCTGCCTAAATACACAATGTGTGTGTGTGTGTGTGTATGCTTATCATTTTAAATATTATTTTAAGTGGATACTCATATTTGAGTGGATGCTCTGCTTATTTATCAAACAGTATATTTATAGATTTTTGTCTACCGGCCAGAATGTTTGAGAAAACTTATTAAAGATAATAATAGTCAGAAGGAGCTACTATTAGACTATAGAGAACCAGTTGATCAGGCAACGCTAAAATGTGTCTTTAAACAAAACTTCTCTCATCATAGATTTCCCCAAATTTTTCATTTCTGCACAGCTTCATAACCAAACATAAACAAAGTGCATTTTCTACAGAAAGTAATGGATTTTTATTAATACAACAGAGTATTTGCACATAAGTGAAGATAATAGCCCCAACTGGAATTGGAACTTGACTCTCTAATTAACAATTCTGAGCCATTATTTATTACAACATTCCCACATCCAAGCTTACAGCCCCTGATATACTCATTTATTTACTGACCAAGCTTGATATTGCTTAACTTTGGTGATTGTATAAGAACTGGTGTTTCAACATGATATGACTGTAAACCCTCATAAAAAGAAAGTAATGGAGTCTTTTATTAATTCCATAGATTTTTTATTACTTTAAACATTATTTTTAGTGGATACTTGTTTTTAAATAAATGCTCTACTGACCTGAATGTTTAAGAAATCTCATTAAAGAAAAATTTATGCTCTCTGGCTGGATTCAAACCTGTGTCCTTCTGCACAAAGGGAGCAACCATCAAACACGGCAATTGGACCTTAACTGATCAAATGGTTCTCTGTAGCTTATTTGGTTAGATTAGACAAGTGACTTGAGAAACAGAAATATGGTTCTACAGAAAGATGCTGAGAATACCATGGACTGAACAACAAAGTTTTATGTAAAATGGAAAAAAAAAAGAAGATACTTATACGTAGCATCAGAAAGAGAGTTAGAAATTTTTGGGGTACATAATGAGGAAAGAAGGCTTGGAAATTTTGACACTCACAGGAGATATTTATGGCAAGAGGGACAGAGGAAAGCAGTGTGTAAACTATCAAATGAATTTGTGTAAAATGGTTGGCAGAAAAGTGATTAAGAGATATAGCAAAAAGTTAAAATGTTTTTGTTGTTTGACATGTCTTCCCCAATATAAAAATGCTGAAAGACATACCAAACAACATTAATATATCCCCTTCTGACAAAGGCAGTGAAATTTATCATTTTTAATCAATATCACCCAAAGCAGGTCAGTAAAGTCACTAAAATTCAAGGGATTACAGGGTGTAAGTGAATTAGGAACAGAAACATTAATAATGAGCAGAAAGAGAAAAGAGTAATCAGGAGAACAGTAGATAGCAATTGACACTGCTTTTAAATTTTTGCAGATTAAAGTTGACTGGAAAGCATGGAGCTGGAAGGGAGGTCCACAGGTGAGAAAAGAAACTGTTAGCATAGAACTTACATCTACATCTAGCTAGCTCATGTGTAAATTGATGAGATCTTGATGCCAGTCTAGTAATGTACTTAAATTCATAAAGTGTAGGTACCATCACGAAGAGCTCATCCAAACAATTACCATGAAAGTATTTATAAAAAAGGCACAGAGAGGCAACCTTAGGGCTGTAGGTGAGTGACTGAAGCCAAGCTGCCAGATCAGGATCAATAACATTGCTGTTTCTTCTTTGGATCCTATCAGGAGCTCAAGGCAAATAGCAAGGTCACTTAACCATATGTGAAAGCAATATTCCAAACAGGGATAAATGGTAGACTTACAGATATGTAAGATAGATTCTGGAGAGAAAAATTGTCTTGCACAACACAGTGAACTGACATTTTTTAGTAGCTCACCTAACAATGGATTCAATATATTCTTTCCGCTTCATGTCAGCTAAGAATGTAAACCTGAGAAGGCACAAGTGACTTATGGACAAACACATTTATCAACAAAAAATGGGACATCTCCTTGATGACAATAATATTTATGAAAAAATAAGTGAACACATGTCATAAAAGAGACACAAAAACTTAAAAACCAAACCAAAATATTATTAAAGAATGAAGACAATTCCTGGCTAAAACTCAGAGCATAATATTATAAATTAATTGATTTAAAATATGGTTTTTTCCGCTACACACTTCTAACCATGTTTCAAAAATTTTTTGAAACATGGTTAGAACTGTGTAGCGCAAAAAACATATTTTAAATTATTTAATTTATTATATATATATATATATATATATATATATATTTTATTAAAGACATTTTTATGTTTAACGTTGTTATTTATAGATACAAGTATTTAAGCAAATGCTCTGTTTATGATAAACAGTATAAAATAACATTTACCGGCCTGAATGTCCGAGAAATTTTCATAGAAAATATTCGTTCTTTGACAGGACTCGAACCTGCATCCTATACGGAACTGTCATTTACGCTGACGTGCCTTACCTCTGGGCCACAAAGAACCTTTCGGTAGACAAGGTCGAATTTACTGCTTATAAACTTCAATCTTCCATGAATCTCGTACATTCATAACTGCTCTGGCGTATCAAATGTATGAAAATTTCTGACATTCAGGCCGGTAAATGTTATTTAATACTGTTTATCATAAACAGAGCATTTGCTTAAATACTTGTATCTATAAATAACAACGTTAAACATAAAAATGTCTTTAATAAATAAATTGTCGGACCTTGTCCATTTCTTAATATATATATATATATATATATATATATATATATAGACAATTTATTTTCTGTCAAAATACATAGAGTACATATTTATAAACATAGCACTAACTAAATACCAACACATTAGACAGACTGACAAACACACTAGTATTACATGGCATTATCTGAAGAATGATGAAAAAAGTGAATACTTACCTGATATATAATATCTGAAGCTTTTTGACGTTTCATTGTCAAAGTAGAACTTTTCCTTGTTTGGTTCAAGTTTTCATCAGATGACTGGGCTTGCTTTTGTCGAGCTGGTTGAGCAGGTCTTACTCCGTTTGCTTCAGCTGACCTGACAATGGCAACTTCAGACCATGCAGTGGCCAGATGTGGATGAACAATTAAGTGTCGCTGCTGGTCCAGTTTTTTCTTTGAAATTTTCAGTCGGCCATTACGTGGGGCTTTCCGGCGTTCATTGCATCGAATACAGCAAATCGAAAGACTGGCTGTAATGGGCACAGCCAGAGTTACAGCTACAAGCACAATGACAATCAGTAAATACTGATGGATTTTTTCACTCAGCTGAATGTGTGTAGCATTGAACATTTCAGAAGTCAAGTTGCTTACAGTAAGGACTAAAGAGAGATTAGTACTTGCTGAAAGTGTTGGAATGCCACTATCCTTCACAACAAACTGTAAGTCATGAGCCCCCGCATCATGTTGGTTGGCTTCTCGATTGAAAGATAGTAAACCAGAGTAGCGGTTAACTGCAAAGATTTTGTTATCATTTCCTCTGACGATTTCATATGATAGAAAAGCATTCTCGAGACTGTCTTTATCAGTTGCTTTCAGGATAGTGATGTTTTTTGTATGGTGTGGGTAGTAGAGGACATCTAAGCTGTAAGGGTTAACACTCGGAAAAGTAAAATAAGGAGAATTATCATTTTCGTCTGTAACTTCAATGACGACATCTGCAGTGTTATTCAAAGATGGTGTTCCGTTATCTTCCACCAATACTTTGAACTCGTAAATATCTTGAAATTCGTGATCTAAAGATATGGTTGTAGAAATCAAGCCATCACTTGCAATTTTGAAAGGCAAGAATTGTTTATTCTTATTCAACAAAGAATAAGATAGTTTACCTCCAGTGCCTTGGTCAGGATCGGAAACATTGATGAACCCAATTGGTGATTTAGGGGCTTGGTTCTCAGCAATTGAAAACTTAAAGACATCTTTAGAAAACTGAGGTGGTACATCGTTAACATCCTTTACTTGGACAGAGAACTTGCTTTCACTGCGTAGAGGAGGTGATCCTTCATCTTGGCATTTGATGGTAATATTATGTTTATCTTCTGTCTCTCTGTCAATTGCATTCTTGACAATTACTTTGTATTTCTTAGCACCAAGTTTTTTTAGTTGAAATTTATCATTATAAAGAACACAATTAACATTTCCATTTGACCCAGCATCATCATCTGTGATTTTGACATAGGCAATAAAACTGCCCACAGCAATGTCTTCAGAAATAGTGCTTGTGTTTCCTATTGATGCTGACACAAAATTGACATCAATTATTGGAGCATTATTCTGTTGGTTAATCACACTGACAAGAACCATTGCAATAGAATTCAAAGGAGGATTGCCTTCATCAATGGCTTCAATATATAATTTATAGGCTGATATTTGACTGACAAGTGATTTTTTAATCAAAAAAATTTCACCACTAACTTTATCCAATTTAAACTGAGATTTCGCCATATATGATGTCTGGGGACTAAAATGGTAAGTAATTTTCCCATTTTTACCTGAGTCGAAATCTTTGGCAGATAAAAGAACAATGGGGACAGTTGTACTGGGCGTGTTCTTGATAGACACATTGTAGACATTGTGACTGAAAACAGGAGAATTATCATTCACATCAGTGACAGAAATGTGTACATCTAAAACACTCTGCTTTGAAGGTGATCCTCCATCCTTTGCAATGATATGAACCAGGTAAGAGTCTTTTATTTCTCTGTCAAGGTCATCTTCCAATTTAATTTGAAGCTTTGATGTTCCATCAATTCTTTTAGAAACAATTAAACTGAAAGGCTCATTTGCTTTTTTCATCAGTTTATAATCTATTTGAGAATTAACAGCTCCAATATCTTTGTCAATGGCATTGGGAATTGATTTAGTCATTCCTTTTCGGTCACCTTCAGAGAAAGAAATATTCACTTGTTTTTCAGGAAACTCTGGTGAATGGTCATTTACGTCTTGAATGATAACTTTAATTTCTAAAACCTTCATGAAAGAGTCAGACTTTCTCACAGCTACTTCCACCATTTTGAAGCATTCCATACTACGGCTGCACAGAGCTTCAGCATCAAACATTTTTGATGTGTAAAGTTTCCCAGACCGTTTTGAGATGCGAAACAACTGCAAATCTCCAAGTCTGTTTTCTCTTAGAAGGCTGAAACGAATCAGTTTACGTTCTTGGTAAGGGACTTGATCCAGTAGATGTGAGTCAGCAGCTACATCCCCAATGTAAGTACCAGGGTTCTTCCCCTCCTCCATCTGATATGTTAGATCAACACAAAGACATGTGTGGAGGATTAGTAATAGTAAATACACTGGTAGCAGCATTTTTTGAGTTCAAATGATGAATCGAGAGAGGATACACAAGAAGTTGCCAATAGAACTATTAAGTCTGAAATTAAAAGAAAAAAATTAATTTTTAAAAATGTTATTAAATTTTTACATATTCAACAAATTTCTTAATAGTATTCAACATTTGTCAGATTGTTTATTTTAAATAAATCCTTTTTTCAACTGGAAATTATAATCATTTTAAAACATTATAAACTACTGCTTTTAGCATTTCCCCAAAATACACATCTCATAATAAATAATGTGTCAGTATATGTGTATCTATATTCATTTATTAGTGTATCCAAAGAATTTGGATTTTTTACAAACATTTATTCCAAAGCTTGTTTTAAGTCCACATCTAAAGACAATCTCTGAACCACTATATTATTATCATTATTATTGTATATTAGTATATTGAAATTACCTTTGGAGTAAAGGTCTGTAAACTTTTAGAACAGATAGGATCATAAAAATATACCATACATAGAGCATTATATAAGCTTTATGAAATTAGCTTTAGAATAAATATCTGTAAACTTTCAGAAAGCTCAGATCATCAAAAGATACCATACTTCATGAAACTAGCTTTGGAGTAAAGGTATTTACTTTCACAAAAGCTAGGATCATCAAAAGATACAATATGTAGAGAAATACATAAGCTTCAGGAAATTAGCTTTGGAGTAAAGGTCTTTAAACTTTCAAAGGAGCTATGATCATCAAAAGATGCCATGTGAAAATACATTTGATATACACTAATAAAATATTCCCAGAACAGTGTTGTTAACTAAGAACCTAGTCATTAAGATACCTTGAAAACAAATTTAAACCAAGCAAGGCTGCATGATTTTGCCATTATATATATATATATGTAGCCATCCTAAAGTAAAACATAGCCAACAACAGCTATTAATCAATGACTAAATTCTTTGCAAACACTTTAAAAGTAAAATTCAATTTTCCTAAAAGATTTTGATATTAAAAAGTTTTTATATATAAATAAAATGGCCACTGATGAAAAAAAGTATCTCCTTTTTGAAACATAAGAGCACTTATATTCTCAAGATAAGCAACAGTGTGTTGGGATTGTAGTAAAACTAAGGACTAATAAATCTATCAGATAACAAATCAATTGATAACGCAATGCCTCCAATCATTACTGAGTCACTTGTATACATGTAGTTATCAACACAGGAGAAAGGTTGATGTCTGTGACTTGACCTGCAAAATTCAGAAACAGCAGGTGCCTGCAGTGCTCTGGGAGAAAGAGCAGTATCACAAAGAATTAATAGAAACTGATATGTTGGAAAATTCAAGAATGTCAGGTGTTCCAGAAATCACAAGAACTTCAGGCTCTGTAATGACAGGCATATCAAGCATCTGAGCCAACTTGAGTGGAAGCTTCAGATATCTTTTCATCATGTTCCCCCTCACTGATACTTTAAATTTGACGGTCCCCATCCTATGGTTTTCGTTTACACCCAATAAAATTTAAATGACTTGATTTTAATATTTAACCATGTTTACAAATTATTTCCATTAGGAAGATATGTTGATGTCAGCAGTTGTTTTAATATTGAAGATGAGTTTTAATATCAGGACCAATAACATGGCAGATTCTTCTTTGGATTTCACCAAGAATTTCTAAATATATAGCAGATGTACCAAACCAGATGTGGCAGCAATATTCAAAGCAAGGATGAATGGTAGACTTATAAATATGTAAGATAAATTTTGGTTAGAAAAACTGTCTAGCACTCCACAGAGAAGCAATTTTCTAAAATAAGAACTAGACAAGATGTCCCTTAGAATCTTTCAAATATCACCCTGCCTGTGATTACTGTCATGGGCAGTGGAATGGGGACAATCTACTCTAAAGATTAAATAAAAAGTTCAGTTTGGAGTTCTACATTCCCTATAGGTTATCCAAATCAACAGATAGTCGTTGCAGGAGAATATCTGATCTGATTGCTTGGGTACAGTTTTTTGCCCAGTTTTCTTTTGCTGCAGGTTGGCATGGCAGCTTGTTTCAAAATAGCTTGCAGCCTGGTGGACAGTGATGCACAGAACATGACAGTTAGATTATATGGTTCACAGGTAGGAGATGATAGTATTAACAGTGATGGCCTTCTTTAGAGTGACTTTATAATAGTTCTTTGTGGCATACCATTAAGATGTGTAAACTAAATAAAAGCAGTTTCTACTTCACTGCACATTAGAGGCATTGGATTCAAGGATTCTGATAAAAAATAATAGATGCATAAATAAAATTTATTTTTAGTCATACAAACAGTTATCATGTTAAGCAAGAAAAAAAAAATTTTACTAAATCACTTCTTTTTTTAAAATCATTTCACCCCAAGCAAGACAATAAAGCCACTAAGATACAAGTTATTGAGCATTACAGAATATGGCTTCTTTCATTTCAGTCAAGTTCAATCTTCAAAAATGTAAATGCAATGTCAACAGTTATCTTCTGTTTTCATAATTTCTGTTCTTTTATTGTTATCACATCTTAATAATGTTTTTCTTTTTCTTATATTCTTTCAGAATCTGTAACCCTTTGCATCTTAGTGGCTTTGTTGCCTTGTTTGGAGTCAAATGATTCAAGAAAAATCTTCTCATCAGAGAAATTCAAACAGAAATTATCCTATAGGCTATTTTTCATATTTCTGTATGAAATAATGATATACATTTTTTTATGTATCAAGAACAATATTGGGGAAAAATGTATGACAAAGTAGAAGAAGTTTTCTTAAATTTGTTATGTTGGTTAGACTACACATTCACACAAATGAGGCATGCTGGGAATTTAAAAAAGAAAAAAATTTAATTTAAAATTCCCAGCATGCCTTTTTTATGCACAAATGTAGTCAAACCAACATAAGTTTAGTCCAATGAAATCCTAAAGGACAAAACACATCACAAAAAAACTTATTCCACTTTGTCATACATTTTCCCCCATAATTCTGTATTTATATCCACTATATTTTCGTTCTTCAGTGGATGTTCCCTACTTTCGGCCTTGTGCCACATCTAAGTTATGCTTGGAAAATCACTATATCCATTATATTTTAGAATCATTAGCTTGTTTTGTATTATTTTATTGACATAAAATAACACACTGAAGGCCATATGCAGATTTGCATAATTAAAACAATATTCTTCAAGGACATTCATTTCATAAAATAACAGACAATGTTAGAAATAATGTCATAAAACTCTAACAGCAAATCTAAAAACCTTATTAAGATTATTAACTAATTTTAAAATATTTATTGTTTCTTCAAACAGAAGTCCTGGGTATGTACTTTTATATTACCATGAATATTTTGTTGCGGTGGGCGAGAGGAGATACAAAATTTGTCAATGAAATAACCTACCAAGTCAAAGTGAATTCGAAACAAGAACTGACAGCTGTAGACAGCATAAAAGCATGAAAAATAATCAATAAAAACGGATAATATTCCTTCTAGCTGTTGCACATGTCGTTCTTTCTCTTGCTTCTCCGTTCTTTTTTTTATTTGAATAAATCATAGTTATTTGATCAACCTTTTTGATCTTCATTACGTGTAAATGATACACATTTATTTTTATCAGCGAATAAGCTCAAGGTGTCTTGCATACATTTCCTCTCAGATTTACTTGGACTGGATTATAAAGATTACTTTGAATTGTAATATTGCATAGATTTCTCTATTCATTGCAATTGCATGCTGAATGTAAATACATATGAATTTCATTAGATGATGATTTGAAATAGAAATTAAATATGATTTTGAAAAAAAATATAAATACGATGAGAAAACAAAAGAAATGAGTTGTGTGTTAACTGTAGCAGTAAAAGATTGCATATTAGAAACAAAAGGGAAACAAAGGAGGAAGCAAACAGAAAAAAAATCTAATTAGCATAAAGAGTTTTTTTTTTTTTTTTTTACAGTGATGTTCACCCTCTACAAAACCCAAGAGCCAAGGTTACAGAGTAAAAGGTGCAGTTTATATAGGGAAAATAATGGAAAACCCTAGACTTGGACAGGTTAGGTCAGACATGTCCAAAGTCTGACCTGAGGGGGCAATTATGTCCCATAGTGAAATTTCATATAGCCCCTGTCCTCTTCTCATAGAATGTATCACAGCCTGTCAGTAATGTCGATCAGAGTATCTAAGATACACACCTAAGAAATGCAATTTCATGTTTTACCAAAAGATAGCAGAAACATTGTGTGGCTGCTCTCTGGCAGTGTGACCTTGACCTCGGCCTTTTCCAGCCAATTTCTAAAATCACTTACCTTTGAACCAAACCTGGCCTACATAATGCAGTCCATATCTCAGTATCATCCTTTCCATTAGGGAAGGCAAGTTATTTGTTTTGGTCATCTGAGATGAATAAATTCTTAAATTTGTTTTGTGTTGGTCAAAATCAGTTATAAATATATTTGGACACTTGGACTTGTGTCAATTTATGTTTTCTACTTTTTGATAAGATGAATGTTGGTGTTATGTTCCTATTCATATTTCATTAACTAAAAGTTGATAGACAACATCAATTACCAATAATATGTAAAATTGAGATATATCAGAGCTTCCTGGAAGTTCTTTTTTCTCAGACATATTTTACTTCATCTTATATGGGCTTCAGATATGACAGGCTCAGTTATTTTGGTATGACCTGTTTAAATTTGTCATCCATATGAAGAAATGAAAATATGCCATTTGCAATAAAATTTTCATAAGATAGTTCATTTGCATTTCATTTTAATGGTTCAAAGAATGCCAAGCAGAATGGTTGGCCCTCACACATATTCATCTTGTCAAATCTGGCCCACTTTGAAAAAAGTTTGGACAGTTTAATTGTTCCTTCAGACACAGTTATATAATTAATTTTCACATACTAAGTTATTAATTTCTCAGCAAGTATATTTATCAAG